CTTTCAATATCGATTTGCCTGTGTATGTACTACCACGTGTGCAGAAGAGTAACCAGTATTTAAGCACCTATTGTTAATAGTTTGATATTTAAAACGGCCTTGCCAACTTGCACATACCACAGTGCAGCTGTGGTTCTCCATAGGATATCTCATTTAAGAGCAGTAATAAACTAATAAAATCAAATCTTTACTCAAATTAAGATGTGTCTGGAATGCATAAGGATTTGGTATTGATGAGCACAGGAAACTAATGGTGATCTGTTTAGCAAAACTTTAAATACTTTAAATACTTCATATTTTATAATTTTCAAGTAGAAATACACACATTTTTTCATTAAAACAATTTAATGAAGTGGTATCTATAGTTACTGTCTGATTTGTGAGAAGCTGATGGTTACAATGGAGGGGGAACTTGTTTGTGTTGAATGTGTGCCAGAAGTATTCAAAATGGGAAGAAATGTGCTTGAAGAGTCAGTGGGTTTGAACTTTAAAAGCTTAGGTCCTCTTGCCAAGTCTGCCACTTCTCCCTGGGTGAATATGGGATGGCTATCATTTGAAGTGCTTCACTCTCACTTTCCTCATTTAAAACCACAGATATTTTAGTTGACTTCTTTTGTAGGGCAGTTTGAGATATGGTAGTGAAGAGGATAGGTGTTATTTTAAGCAGTGTTTTTTAACCAGGGGCGAGAGGTTGGCTCAGGACACTGGCAGAGAGGGTTGGAGAATTTTGTCTCCTTTTTGCTTATTGGAACCATCCCCAAGAAAAAATCTTTCATCGGGGAACAACAGTTGATGGTGTTTTCATGTAGTTATTGATTTCAGACCAATCCACAGGAAGCTTTCTCTATGCATTGGTGCTATTTTGGCATCCATTTACGAGAGTGGCTGGGATTGAAATAAGTATGTGGTTCTCTTGGCAAATGGTCTCCTTAGGTGAAGATTGAATGTAGGCATAGAAGAACATGAACAGACGTGTTGCTGTATCTAGCTGAAGATTACGGCCAAAGTTCCACTTCTTTTTGTGGTTTCTGCCCTCCTATGCCCTCAACCTTTTACAAACACACAAGTGTAGTGTTGCAACTGAACTTTAACTGCATGTTGAGTCTCACAAGAGCGGATATGCTTATTGAAAGGGCAGGCATTATTTCAAAAATTTTATAATTATAAAACCTATCACTCTTTTTAGCGTCCAAAGTAGAATCATAGAATGGCTTGGGTTGGAAGCGACTTTAAAGATCATCTAGTTCCAACCCCCCTGCCATGGGCAGGGACACTTTTCACTAGACCAGGTTGCTCAAAGCCCCATCCAGCCTGGCCTTGAACACTTCCAGGGATGGGGCAAGTAGCTTGTGTTGAGTTTAATACATATGTATATGTGTGTGCACATGTCTTCACACATTTGGAAAGAAGGATTGGGATATTTGAATTATATTTGAACAAGTATTTGAACTATTAAAGGTAGATCTAGAGCTCCAGAGCCAGGGCTGTATGCAACTTCAGTGCCAAACCTGTCCTGAACTCTAATATGACTAGAAGTCTATGTTTTGTTCAACATATCTGATTATCCATAATTTTTTTTTAGGAAACTTTTACAGATTTTTTTTTTTTTATCCTTACATTACAAAAAGTTACCTGAGGAAACTGCAGACACAGTGAAAGGTCATATTAATTGAATTTAAGAGATTCAAACATTTTTCTTCAAATTTTGGGGGGAGAATTAATTGGAAAATCAGACAGTCTTTATGCTACTATTTTCTAGTGTGTGGAAGTGTGGTAGATTTGTTTTGGTTTGGTTTTTCTCCTCTCAGTACTGCTTAGAAATCAGCTAAACCATTGATATTGCAGAAATGATATAGCAGCAGTTTCAAGTCTTTTGTGCCTTACATGCTTGATTAGAAAAATCCCATTAATGATAGAAAATGCTAATCAGAGATGTGTTTTGCCAGCCACCACAGGCCCACACACTACATAATCCATTGTTTATTAACCTAATGAAGGTCATTGTAGCTTTTGAAAGCTTGTGTGACAGCATCTCAAAATGGTTTTAAAACTCTATGCCACTGGACTCTGGTGCTGGAATAAATCAAGGCCGGGTATTTACTTGTCAGGATGGCTCTGGCGTAAATGAGTTTTTTCTGGGTGGAATGATCATACTGTGCTTTTCATTTTTTCATTATAATTGTCAAGACAGACAAACAGTGCAGTGGTGGCTAAGCTGATGGTGCTGCCATTAAGCAGTTAGACACTGTCTTTATCCACGTCTTAGTGATTTTCCTTTTCTTTTCTTGGCAGGTGACATCACACAGAAGGGATATGAAAAGAAGAGATCAAAATTAATTGGGGCCTACCTGCCACAGCCTCCCGGTACGTGTATCTGTGCTTGCGATATATGAAGATGTCAAGCATACTGATAGTTGCCACAGTAAAAATCTGCATCCCTGAAGAAATATATGTGGCAGAAACAAAGCTGTTGTTATGCAGAAAAAGCTTATTCCATCCATTTTATGTATATTTTTATATATATGTCTGCTTTGATGTGTGTGTACATTTTTCACATACATTGCTGTGGGTTTGGCAGTCATGTCTGGAAAACAAAATCAGCCTAGGCTCGTTAGAGAGGCATTGTTTGTTAGAGGTAATGCAGAAATACAGAGGAAAACATGATGTCCAAGCTCATTAAGACCTCAGTCAACTAAAGCTTTCTGAACAGAGGTATACAGAACAGTGGAAGAGAACCTTGGAGCTTTGTACCTTCCCCCATTTCTGGGTTTCCTGTCCAAGTCTCCTTTTTGAAGACACTAGAGAGACCAGCAACACCCCTAGAGTTCAGCTTGTCCTATAACATGTGGGCAACCAATGCTGTATAGATACATGGTCTCAGCGTTGAGGGGTGGGTTGCATGTACTTGTGCAAAAGGTGTAAAAATATCTTCAAACTAAATTCAATAATGTATTGCTTAATTGAAATTATTTCCTGTATATGTAAGAACTCTTCAGAGGCACTGGATCATGAAGTCAAATATGTAGTTGTAGGTATTGGTGTAGGCCTCCATTTTGTGTTGGCCTCAGAGGAGCGTGCCCCACATGCTTATGGCATCTCACTCACCTTACAGAGGCTCCACTTGGGCTTGGCCGTCCTCTGAGCCCTGTTTTTGTTGCAGGCCTGGAAGCTAGTTTCCTCCTTCTTTTACAAAATCATGCCTTTATGGTGGAGTTGATGTTTTTCTATTTAAGTTGCTTATGTGTGGAGGCACTGCCTTGTTGTCTCTTCTTCAGGTGTATATATATTAGCTAGCTCTGTAGCAGAACAGTATTTTTGTGCCTTTGGATTTCGCTTTGTCTGCTCCACTGGTGGGAACTCCACAAAAGAGATCAGTGTTACAGTCACCTATCTTTTCTGAAGTGATACAGCTTGATCTGAAGGTGTCTGTGACATTTCCTAACCATTGGAGCCATTAGAGAATGAAACAAATCAAATCAACAGAATTACAATACCAGAGGTGCAGTTATTAAATTTCTGGGTATTTATTGGTCTGACCAGACTGTCAGACATACAGTAGTCTTCACAGTATGTTCTCATGAGACTACTTGGTTTTACTGAGTTATGGAGAGACTGTTGTCTCACAGTAATCCTCAACAGAGCAGTGCGTTTGGTACTGGTATTTGTTTATATAGTTAGTTGTACCTTTTTTTTCTTCACACAAGAAAATAACAGATTTTCTCCAGAAAAATAATCTTAGTCTTCTGGTCAAACTGTATCCTTGGCTGAAACTGCTGGAGATTCATCCTATATGTAGTGATGAAAGAGGGAAGGTGGAGAACCCTCTGAGATTTATCTTTCAAGGTCTCTGTTGTGATATTTAAGTTTTTCAGTATAAGGACAAGCAGAGGTATCTCTGTAAGCCGGTCCATTCGACAATTTGAAGAGGTCATGGTTGAGGATGTAGCTGATTTAGTGCTGTTTTGAAGATGGGAAGGAATGGAGTGAATGTTTTCTGCTCTACCACTTCCTAGAAAATCCTGCTGTGGGGATGTGGGGTATGGATGAGTGGAGGAAGATGATAATAGAATGAAGAGCAAAAGTATTGAAATATTGTCCACTGTTTTCTTGTCCATACATCAAGTTCAGTAGTTTAGCTGATGGCTAAATGAATTATTTTATTATAGTAGAAGTCACTGCTTCTACTGTATTTTCCTCCAGAAAAAAAAGTGTTTTCCTCCAGAAACTGACATTATTTGTGCTTCGGTCTTTGCTGTCTTTGTATTTTTTGTTTGTTTTGTTGTGTTACCTTTTGGACAAAACTTGAAGCAGTACAATTTGATATTCTCCTTCTAAGACTTTGCTCATCTGAATGGCTTGAGGTCCCTGCAAACTAGGAAGAGGGAGATGAATCCTTTCCAAGAAGAAATAAGATAACAAAACAGATGCTGCCTTTTGAAAGCCTCTGTTCATATCTGAACAATCACATACATGACTAATTCATCATTTGTTTCTTTGTTGTAATCTGTTTTGATGGGGAACTGCAAGAATTTATAAGCTTTGGTGGTCTTGGGTCTTGCTATTTAAAGGGAAATAGATGTTTCAGAGATCCTTTAAAGCAGTATGGAAAAGGACATGGCTCTTTTGCTGGGATCGGAGGCATTGGGGAAGGGCAGGGATTTGCATTCTGTGACAGCATTCAACAAACTAAAGGAAATCCAAAGGCAGTTCCCCTCTGTTGGGACATCCCGTCCTCTCGCTGCACCTTTGCTAACATTACTAACGCCCATGTTGGCAGAGTGGAACATTGACCCGCGTTGGCTCCATGAGTGTCCTGTGGTGTCTGTGCGTGCGTGTGCGTGTGTGCTCTACTGCATGGGGGCAGCAGCTCCATTCGTTGCTGTAACAAATGTAAAAAAACTAAACGTGAATTAATTAGTTTTTTTCAACTTGTTACAGCAGCGAATGGAGCTGCCGCGGTACGGTGTAGACTGCAACACAGTGAAGGAGCTGCCAGAAGAATGCTCCGCACTGCCAACATTGGTGTCTGTGACATCCGGGAAGCGGCCGCTAGAGAGAGAGCAGCCAGCACAGCAGGAAACCGGCCTCTCTTTTATTTTCGTTTTGGTGAGCACAATGAATGTATCTTTTCCAGTCCCTATCTGTCTGTAACTGTGCCACATCTGAAAGCCTCTGGTGGACAACTACATCAGTATGATAGACTAGGAGCTGCCAGTGAGAAGGCAGGACAACCAAAGGACAACATCTGGAAGGCCGTTACTGACTTTTATCTGCCTAAGAGTGAATTGATGGGAAGGTAGAAGGAATACTCCTTCTTAGTAACATTTGAACATGTTCATGTCTCTCTAGCTTCCATACCGTGGATACTTTGGAGGAGGTTTCATACAATAAGCTGGCGAAACACAGGAAGGCATGTGTTTCTAATTCCCTTTTTGGCACTGCCTTTTTACAGAGCTCTGGACAGGTCCAAGCCCACTAGAATCCGGAGGAAGCTGTAAAAATCTAAGCACCCCTAATTCTGTGCTATTTTCAAGTAGAGATCTCCACCTGACCTCCACTCACATCCAAACCATTCAGAAGCAGATTGACTTTTAGGAACAGGCTTCAGGCTGGTAGAGCAGACTGGAGGAAGAACATTCTGCAGGGCTACATGTCTGCAGTGAGGACAGGCAAGGCATGACCCCAGCCATGTTGTGCCCTTCAGGAGATACCTGTCCTGCCTTCTGGGGCGACCTGTAGCTGGTGGCAGGCAGTCTGCTCCTACTGCCTGGGTTTGTATTGAGGCTGCAGAGAATTCACAGCCCCTCAAGACACCAGATTTTCTCTTGCCAACCATGTGGGCACATGGCGGACATCACACTCTTGCCTGTGTGCTTGTCCACGCTCCCACAAGGCTGTCCAGGCACAGTGTAAGAGATGGGTGGAGAGAAGATTGGATTTGCAGTTCTGTCAGGACAACACATACCTGTAAAAAGATGATCCCTTTGAGAAACCCTTCCCTGCTCATTTCAAACCAATTTGCTATAATACCGTAGAGGAGATCCGTATTGGATTCTGACTCTCTTGTTTGTATTACTCTTCCTACATAGAATCATAGAATGGTTTGGGTTGGAAGGGACCTTAAAGATCATCTAGTTCCAACCCTTCTACCGTGGGCAGGGACCCCTCCCACTAGACCAGGTTGCTCAAAGCCCCATCTAACTTGGCCTTGAACACC